CCAATTTATCGAGCAACTTTTTATTTCTTTTTTTTTAACTTTATTTAACTTTATTCGGACTATTTGTCTTTTACGAATATTTAAAAAAAATAGCCAAACCGTTACGGTCTTCTCAAGTGATACTTTCCAACAAACAGCATTTCAGTTTTATTATATAGATTAGTCCTGGATGAGGGCATTCCTGGGTTAACTTAAGCATCACTTATATCATCTATAAATATAAGAAAAAACTGACAACTTTCTATTTATAGCCAACGCATAGTGTATTATAGTATCTGTGTCTTTTAATGAAAAATCCATTTTTATTCTTATTTCTCTGATAACATAGTTGACTTTGGGAACAACCCCCCTAGACGTGATAGTCTGCCTCGGCAGGTATGTCATCAGGCAGTCGTGTTGTGTGTGTAAGCGATTCTGCGACGCCCCATTAAAACGGGAGTTTCCATAGTTTTAATGGGTAGGGTAGTACTGGCTTCTCTAGCCGATAAGTCCTACATCTGTATGTATTTAGTGCGTATGCGTAAATGCATTACTCAATGTTAAAAAAAAAAGAAAAAACAAGAAAGGTAGTCAAATTCCACAAAGTTTAAAATGCATCGCAATTTTTAATGTGAATAAATAGGAATTGAACCAACTTCCAGCGCAAAAAGATAAATATTATATTCTACTACGCCAAATATATATTTAATATTGATTACATTAAAAATATCCATTTGAAAATTTTATACGCAGTTCTGAAGTCTGTAGAGCGTAAAACTAATGTATAAATCATGTACTGCTTTCATTATTATAGATTTTTTGCTAGGCAGATGCTTGAAGAATATCATCTTTATATCAAGGGGCTTAGAGAATATATTACAAAAATTCTACATATTTACTTATAAATGATGAACTTCGATGAAAACCAAGTATAGGAATCGATCATATAATCGTGTTAAAGAATAGTGTGAAGTAGGTAGCTCCAATTTACAGTAAAAGATGTCAAACAGTGTGTGACGTATGGGGTGCAAGTAACCAGTAAACTAGCGTGAGTGTCGAGCAGGTATCTTAATGCTGTCATTTGAAGGATGATCGCTGTAGGTGGACCTATTAAGTCAATATTTATTTAATAAGACTTATTACAAGCATTTTTGAATCGTCAATTTAAAGAGCGTCTGTGTAGTCAATCCGTGAGGAAGCTACCACCGGCTCGGAAAGCAGTTCTGCTGAGAAGAGCCGGCGAGAAACTTAACAGTTGCTCTTTTAAATATCGAAGCTACATTGATAATAGTACAGACAGCTCTTATATGAGTCACTATATCTTAATTCCACACATTTCCATGAACACGAAACTTTTGAACAGTGTATTACGCTTTGCTCAATGAAATATTCTTAATTTTATCTTTTAATTGTTTGAAAAGGTAAATCTAAGACAGTTTGTGGAATCTTATTACTCAAGAGTAAGTTTAATAATAATAATAATAATAATAATAATACTCTTTATTGTACACCAAAGAGAAAAATACGTACAGACAGTTATTAAAAATTAACAAAGATGCACAGTAGGCGGCCTTATCGCTTAAAGCGATCTCTTCCAGGCAACCAACTACCAGGTAAAGGAGAGTGTGAGAGAAATGGTAGGCGGTGTACTTGCTATACGATATAATTATACATACAATATAAATAGATAAACATAATACACATACACATACAAACGTACATACATACATATATACATACATACAAATATACATACATACTTAAACACACAATACAAATATATAAACGTACAATACACATACATACTAATTTATATACATACGTACCTACAAATATATATAGTTATAGATACAATTAAATATAAAAAAAGCACTAAAGGGACAGGTAATATTCTTTTAATAACAGCTTAAATTTATCAAGGCTTTTGGCACTTTTAACTTTTAAAGGAAGTGTGTTCCAGAGCCGGGCAGCTTTTACAGTAAAAGAGTTAGAGTAGAAACATGAAGAATGTGGAGGAATTTTGAGAACTAGGTTGTGCTCCGAGCGAAGAGAACGGCTATGACAGTTACTTAAAAATTCAAAACGCTCTTTTAAATAAAAAGGAGTTGAAGGGTGAAATAGCACACAGTAAAGAAGATGGAGAATGTGAGTATTCCTGCGGAAACGGATAGGAAGCCACTTGAGTTTTTTACGAAATTCTGAAACGTGGTCATATTTCCGAAGGCCGAAAATAAACCGTATACAAAGATTTTGAAGTCGCTCAAGTTTATTTAAATATTCTTCTTTGATATCAAGATAACAAACGTCAGCATAATCAAGAATCGGTAGTAGAAGAGAATTTGCTAGCGCAATTTTGGTAGGTATGGGCAGAAAATTTTTTAATCTACGAAGAGAAGCAATCGCTCCAAACATCTTCCTGCTCATCTCACTTATCTGCGGTCCCCACGATAAACACTGGTCAATTAAAATACCCAGGTTTTTCACTTTATCAGTAAACATAATTTGGACACCATTAAGAAGTATGGGTGGTATGTGCATATTTTTAACTTTGCATAATAGTCTCTGGCTGCCTAAAATAATTGCTTGAGATTTATCTGGATTTAGATTGAGTCCATATGAATTACCCCATGATGATATGAGTGACAAATCTTTATTTATATTATTAATGGTAATAGGCAAGTTCTCCACAGTAGTCATGGCATAAATTTGCAAATCGTCAGCATACAGGTGGTAGGGAGAAGAAATTTGTTGAGAGATAGAATTAATAAAAAATGAAAAAAGGAGAGGAGACAAGACACCACCTTGTGGAACACCAGCATTAATTATAGACCATTCAGAGCACGAATCTTCAATTCGTATACGCTGCCGGCGATCACACAAGTAAGAACGAAACCAGTCAACCACCTCAGGAGATATGTTAAGAGAAGCTAGAATGGCAAGTAAAATGTCGAGATCTACTGTATTAAAAGCGTTTGTTAAATCTAATAGTGTCAATACCGTAACCTTTTTATTGTCCATGCTTTCTCTAACGTCATCTGTTATTTTAGTTAGCGCAGTAACCGTGCTATGACTAGGACGAAAACCAGATTGAAAAGAATTTAATAGACTATTTTGATGTAGAAAAATACTTAGTTGACGATGCTACGAAGTTTAGTAAAAAAAAACAGACAGATTATTAGGATCCTCTGATAGAAAAACTATGTTGCACTCGTGTACTTAATGCATCGGGGTGCAATACGAGCGTATGTAAACAAAGTGCTGCACGTTATCTCTATGGTACATAGTGTATGGAATTATGGCCGATCCACACTTTAGTGCCGATTACAGTTCATTCCCGGTCCGGTAATGTATTTTATGCAAGAAACAATAAGTGCATTCACACTATCAGTAAAGGTCAAATTCGGGTCGAATCACGCACCAGCGACGTTTCTTGCACTTTTTTTTGTATTTTAAAATAGATAAAGAAAATTAATAAAAATATTATTATTATTATAGTGTGCATCGGTCCTTACAGATGGCGTCAATGCACTCATTGTTTCTTGTATTAAAAATACTTTACCAGACCTTTGCATATCGTACCGATAAAGAACTATGTTCAGCATTATAGTATGGATTGACCCCTACTATCCTACCGGACTTGAGTGTATTTGTGTTCACGCAAATGCTTATATACTACCTCGGTGCTGTAGTGGCTAGCATGTACGGCTGCACACCCGGAAGTCCTGGGTTCGAGTCCCGGGTCGGGTCAAGTTTTGTTATTGAGTCTTTCTGTATAAGTAAGCCTCAGTAACAGCCCGGAGTTGGGAAGTTGGCGGTGTTTCACCGCCGTGCCTCGGAGAGCACGTAAAGCCGTCGGTCCTGCGCCTTAACTCTTACCGGTCGTGTCGAGTAGTCGTCCCACCGGAGTATGAGAGTGACAGGAATAGAGAGTGCACTTGTGTCTGCGCGTACACTTGTGCACTATAATATCTCCTGCGCAGTTGGCTAGTCTCAATGAGATTGGCCGCCGTAGCCGGAATCGGCTAGGAGAACATCACTTATACACTAAAATATTTCTCTCGCAGATAAGTCTAGTTTAAGGGAAATTGGTCGTAGTGAGGGAAAATCAGCAAAACATTATTATTATATTGTCCAATGCAGAAATCGAACCTGTTAATATTAGGACATGTTAAAAATATACATTTCACATTACTTCAATACGTACGAATTTAAGAATTAGTACTTATAGTAGGTACAAATCACGAGTTTTCCCTAAAGCTTTAAAAAACCATTGTTTTAAAGTTGTTGTTCTTGACCTTTTTTAATCTGCATTTTTCTTACACCTTGGTAAGTTATTGTTCCTTCCTTTATAATGTATTGTACTCTGTAGTCAATACAGTCCCTACGAACGGCAAATGAACTAGTTTTATTTCATAACTAGCGATTCACCCTCGCTTCGATCGTTTGATTCCCCATACAAACTTTGATCCCTATTTTCACTCCCTTAAAGGATGATTTCTATGATAAAAAGTATCCCATGTCCTTCCCAGGGTCTCAAACTCACAAACTCACAAACTTTACCTCCTTATAATATTAGTAAAGACTATAAAACGATCATAGTTAATATTACCACCGTTAAAAACTGTTACACCGACATGAAAATCACTTTAAAATAATTGACCTGTAGGGGTTTAGTAGTGTACTTAAGAATTCATATACATATAGAATCTTTGAAGTATAGTGATTAATGAAGTATGTTATTATTTTAAAAAATATTATAAAAATCGATTTATAATAATGGCTAATATATCAAATAACATACACAAAAAATTATAATTGAATGAGTAGCTGAATACTTTTGAAGTTAGGCAAAAATAATTTATAATAACGTGCCGGTGCCGGTTCGAAGATCGCTACAATGCATATCCACACGGTACAAGTTATTTTACTTACTGTTCTCGATGGGTAAAATAATAATAAAAAACAAATAACACACTGACCATTACAACTAACAGTATATAAACCGATTAATTACAACTAACCTTTACTATAATCATGTATCGCAAATTTCTTTTTAGCGCCAATTCTATTTTGATGTGCCAATTCTATTCTATTCTTGTGGAAGATTGTAAAAGTTATAAAACACACAATCATCACTGAATACACTATAAAACAATTACTTTCCAACAACCAGACTGTGAACGATATGACATTCATGTTTATCGATTTATTTTTCTTTCCCGCGCGAATTTACTTTTTTTTTCTGACACAAGCACCTACTACGCGCGCACGCAGCCAACTAAGTTTGTTGACATTATAGAACGTGCAAAACGAATGTTGCGTTTAATCGAATTATTAATTTTAATTTCTACTAGCATTTGTCTGTCATTCTGCATGAAATTGATTTTATCTTTACAGCCACATTCCCATTTTAATTTTATGTAATAGGTATATTATAAATATAACGATAATAGTATAAAATTATTATAAATTAAATTAAGTACCTATAATTTGGAATCATTATGTTTTTCTTTGCTTAAGAATGAAGTTTTGAACAGAAACAAATATTTTAGTTTGTTATTCTATAATCCGTCAAAAGATAGTTTTTAATTTTTATATTTTTTTTTATAATTTTGCTATTCTGTTATACCTACTAATTTTGTGTAGAATTTAGAATAGCATGAAATATTTTGCATTTAAAATACATATTAATATTATTCAATTTCACTATCGTGTTGAGTACATCGTTCGCGCAACCTTGACCAGAGTTGGTAGGTATAGGTACAGACGAAAAAATAAAAAAGAGTCTTGACTGTGAGTGCTCATTTCTGACCAAAGTATAACATTTAGATTTATACAAAGTTAACAACTTAAATGAAATATTGTTTAAAAAATTGTCTATAAAAAAAATTGTTCTCTATCTTATAATAATAAATCTTTAAAATTGTAGCGAATAAAAAAGTATGTCTGGTTGTATGAAGGTGTTCCTTCGGCAGGTCGGCCTTCAGAATGCTTAGCACGGTATTCAACCATAAAGCCTTGAAGTTATAAAATATATAACGTAGGTAAATATCGATTATTTACTACTACTACTCATATTTTAGTTTAGTTTCGTTATAGCATTATGTAATGTACGTTAATATTTTATATTATGACGTGTCCATAGGAAATTTCATTTAATAGACTACCACGGGATCTACTTAATTTACCAGGATAAAATTATCGTATGAGCTAATTTAAGACATTGCTGATATAGTCATGCATAATATTATGCGATTCACCACAAAAACAATTATTTATTTCAAACCCATTTAAAATATCACAAGCTTACACATTTGAAACATTCATGTTATGGTACGATATACCTACTTATTAACTATTAAGATTAAAGTTAAACTAGTGCCTCACCCTCGCTCCACTCGGGTACGTCCCTAGTTCAATTTAACATATTTTAGTATAGATTTCTCAGAGATGAGATATTTTCCCGCAGTAATAGGTATCCTATATGTTGACCCGGATAACCAGCTATCATCATATCAAATTTCATCAATCTGTCCAGTAGTTTTCTCGGGATTTCAATAAGATTTTCCAAAAAAATATTTAATGTACAGATTGGACTCAATTAGATTTTTATTATATTATCCATACTATAACTAAGCCGAATCTGTACTTTAAATATTTTTTGGAAAATCTTATTGAAATAAACATTATTATCAATACAGAGGCCGAATCTATAGTTTTTAGAATTTTTGTCTGTCTGTCTGTCTGTTACCGTATCACAGAAAAACCACTGGAGGGGTTTTGATAAAATTTGGTATGGTGATAGCTGGTTCTCCGGGTCAACATATAGGATACTTTACCCTGAGAAAATATCTCATTTCTTAGAAAAAATACAAAAACTGCAATGAGTATACTAATATGTAAAACCTAAGAATTTAGTTTTTGGTCATCTAAACGCGGGCGAGCCGCGGGCAATGCTAGTGTATAGATAAATGAATTATTCTGTTTTACTAGATACAAAGTTAACTTGACAAAAGACCTAGACTAAATTATGGACATTAAGCCCCACCTACTTAAACGCTATAGATAAGATGATTTTTCGCACTAAAGTGTGTACATATTTGTTACAATAAGGACATCCGCAATATGACAGTGTACTATCATGCCACCGACTTCGCTTGTTTGTTTTTGAGACACATTAATAAATAAGTAATTGTCTAAAATAATAAATTATAGTTATTTTGGCTTCAACACCGTCTTCCTGTTGCGATAAAGTTATATTTTTCCTGTTATTGATTTTTATAAAATTTACTTTTACAAACTCTTGGAAAAATGGTAATTCTTACATGTAGGTACTTTTGACTTATTTTTCATCAAAGTATTTTTTCGTTTGTTTTCAAAGTAAGAACAAGAGTGAGTTTGATTCGCGCATATTATAATAGTTTAGTTATTTTTAAAAGTAACATTTAGTTATAAATAGAACAATGGTGGCGCTGTTGGCAATGGTGGTTTCATACTGTATTTTGAAATTCCTTTTAGGTATATTGAATATTTTAGTTATTACGATAGCCAAAAAACTTGTGCTGTAGATACTGATATGGTGTAAAATAATACAGAAATTTCAAAATCACATCAAAAGGAAATAATTATTCCCATCCTTTAATGTAGAATGTGTTATAAAACCACTACAATTGATAATCACACGTATTATAAAAAAATAGCCTTTTTTACAATTGGCAAATATATCTCATATTCCATACACAAAAAAATACCCCAGAATCAGAGGGAAAGTAAACGATCTGTATGTCAAAATCGAGAATGGTAGCATAAACAGCAAAATTACGCTACAATTTTTGTCTGAGGATATACCTTTAACAGGTACTTATTATAGGAACTAAAAGTTCAAAGTATAAAAAAAAACAAACTCTTCGTTCTATGATTACTTGCTCTGCTCCCTTGGGTAGTAGCATGATGATATATAGCCTAAATTCTTCCTCAATAAACGGGCTATCTAATGCAATAAGAATTTTTCAAATCGGATTAGTACTTAATACTTTCTTAGATTTACGCGAATATTTGACATTTGAAATAAAACTATCTTTTCGGATTTTGTCGCGGATTTATTTGTATTTTTGTTTCCCGACGTTTCGAATGCTTTACAGCAATCATGGTCACGGGAGAGACTGAGGTGTCAGATGTCTTCTAAGGTATAGTTGTTACAGACAGCCTACCCACAATTAACAAAATGAATTCAAAAAATTGAAAAATGGCACTAAAGTACCTTACAATATTTTAACTTTTAACTTTAAACATTTTTATATAATTTTAATTAGCTTTATAATTGAATATAGAATATTATTTATTTAATTTGAGCTGTTATTATTATAATTATTACAATTTTTAAAAATATTAATTATTACTCTACATTTTTAGTGTTGCCATTATTATATTTATAACCATAAAGAAAAAATCATAATATATTAATTATTGAAGCCACAATTGATCTATGTGTAATTTGAAAAAGTTAAGATTAATTAAAAATAATAATTTAAATTTAAATTTGATTGATGATTGCTGTAAAGCATTCGAAACGTCGGGAAACAAAAATACAAATAAATACGCGACAAAATCCGAAAAGATAGTTTTATTTAAAACGGATTAGTACTTAGTTCCTAAGATTAGCGCGTTCAATCAAACAAACAAACAAACTCTGCTTCTTTATAATATTAGTATACATATACTAATATTTAAACGTTATTAAATATCTACACAATTTGCTTTTAAAAACATATTTACTTTCAAATATATTTTTTATTTGATATTCCAAATGAAAGGTCATATTAGTATTTTGCACACATATTAGTGATTCCGGAGTGCCTTGGCCGACTAAAACAATAGACTAACGAGTTGTCTGTGAAATTAAAATTTAAAAATACGTCACTTGCTGTTATCGTACTATTTTATAGTAAACTACGTTAATATTTTTTTTTAATTACTATTTTTATACGTTGATAAGATTTTCGATACATTTATATTTTATCTGATATCTGTAATAGGTACGTCTTTTATCTAATCTACTATTTTATCAATGTCAAAAATTCTACCACTGGTTGAGAATAAATTGGCTTACAAATGCAGCGGAGCTATAGATTTTTGTATTTTTTTTTATAAAAATGTACATTACATTATTTGGGTACTTTTTATCTATATATATATATATATATATATATATATATATATATATATATATATATATATATATATTTAAAGCTATTTTAGTTATATAAATTACTAGCGACTCATTCTTGCTTCGCTCGGGTTCGTCCCTAGGTTGAATCCCTATACAAACTTTCATCCCCATTTTCACTGTTTTCATTCCCAAGGTTTCAAACTATCTTGTTACCAAATTTTATCTAAATCGGTTCAGTAGTTCCAGAGATTACTTCCTACAAACAAACTCACAAACTTAAAAATTTAACCTCTTTATAATTTTAAAAAGAATATTTTTTTAAGGTGATAAGATTTTCGATATATATTTTATCTGATATATATTATATATTTTATCTACGCACGTACGTATTTGGACGTTATTCAGTCTAGACTCACCAGTCACCAGACGCAATGATAGCCCAGTGGTAATGCAGTCTCGGAAAACCAAGTGAAGCTGTTCCAAGCCCCGGATCTCTTCTCTAATATAGTGATTCGCGAACCATTTTCAATATGATTACCTACCAATTGTCTTATGGTGAAGAAAATTACCATGAGGAAACTTGCATGTTTGATATAATCTCATTTGCGAAAACCATGTGCAAACTTATATCGTCACCATAACTGTAGGAATTTCAGAAATCTAGCCTTGTTAAGTTGTTTCTTAAGATTCTTTACACTACCAATTCTATTGCCTTAGAGCTATTGAAATTATAAGTAATTAACACACAAAACGGAATTCATTATTGTTTTAAAACAATAGGATGACTATTTGAAATATAAACGAACATTTAAGCAATATAAAACCTACATTATTTTATTTCTTAACCAACGACTCACCCTCGCCGCGAGTCGCAGGTTCGTCTCTAGAAAAACAAAACCATTTATCCCACGGGACCGTACATTTTTACAGGATAAAAAGTTCTATCTAATCTATCTCAGTGCCA